GCCTAATGTAATAATCATTTGATTTCTAGGCTGCTGTTTCCATGAGTGTTGATGATTAATCCGAGCAAAACGAAGTCTTCAACAACTTCAGTCTTTCCGTCATTTACATGGATGTTGTTTATTGGTATATTAGAGAGGTGTATTGTTTTCTTTACAAAGAGGTGCCACCCCTATTGAAGATCCTCATCAGTATTTTAAGTCCTCTGCACTTTCAGCAGCAAGGTTGTATCATCTGCATATCGCAGGTTGTTAATAAATCTTCCTCCAATCCTGATGCCACATTCTTCATATAATCCAGCTTTTCAAACTATGTGCTCAGCATACAGACTGAATAATTATGGTGAGAGAATACAACTCTGGCACACACTTTTCCTAATTTTAAACCATTCAGTGTGCCCTTGTTCTGTTTGAACAACAGCTTCTTGGTCTAGGTACAGGTAGGTTCCTCATACTTGGGGACACTCGTTCTCCAAAATGATGTCCATAACTTGTCAAGATCTACTAAATCAAAAGCCTTAGCATAATCAATAAAGTACAAGTAAAACAGCTTTTTGGTATTCTCTGCTATGGTATTCAGCCAAGATTCATCAGACATCGGCAATGATACCCCTTTGCTCCACTTTTTTGTTTGATTCCAGCTTGAACCTCTGGGAAGTTCTCCATAAATGTACGGTTGCAGCTATTTTTGTATTATCTTTAGCAAAAATTTACTTGCATGTGATACTAGTGATACTGTCTGATGATTTCCACATTCCATTGGGTCACCTCTCTTTGGAATGGGCACAAATATGGATCTCTTCCAATAAGTTGGCCAGGTAGTTGTCTTCCAAATTTCTTGGCACAGATAAGTGAGTGCCTCCAATGAGTCATCAGTTTATTGAAAGATTTCAATTTGTATTCCATCAATTCCCAGTGCCCTGTTCTTTACCAAAGTCTTTAATTCACTTTGGACTTCTTCCTTCAGTGTCACTGGCTCTTAATCATCTGCTACCTTTTGAAATGGTTGAACATAGATCATTTCTTTTTGGTACAGTGACTCTGTGTATTACTTCCATCTTCTTTTGATGTTTTCTGCATCATTCAGTATTTTGTCCATTGTTGCTGTTATTGTTAAGTATTGCTGAATTGGTTCCGACCCATAGCAACCCTGTACAGGATTTTCAAGGAGTGGCTGATGAACTTGATCTACCAACCTTGCACAAATAATCCTTCAACATTTCAAGTCGGAGTTTGAATTTTTTCTTCATTTTCCAGTTTGAGAAATGCTGAGTGTGTTTCCTTTTGGCTTTCTAACTCTAGGGTCTTGTACATATCATTGTAATATCTGACTTTATCTTCTCGAGCTGACCTTTGAAATTTTCTGTTCAGCTCTTGTACCTCCTCACTTTTTCCATTTGCTTTATCATCTCTGTGCTGGAGAGCAAGTTTCAATGTCTCTTCTAACATCCACTTTGGTCTTTTCCTTCTTTCTTGTCTTCTTGATGACTTTTGCTTTCTTCCTGTATGATGTTCTTGATGTCATCCCACAACTCTTCTGGTCTTAGGTCTTTAGTTTCTAATGTATCAAATCTGTTCTACAGATGATCTCTAAATTCAGGTGGGATATGTTCAAAGTCATTTTTTGGCTCTCGTGAACTTGTTTTAATTTTCTTTAGCTTCAGCCTGAACTTGCATAAGAGCAATTGATGATCCTACCACAGTCTGCCCCTGGCCTTGTTTTTTGCTGATGATATGGAGCTTTCCCAGCATCTCTTTCCATTGTTGTTGTTGTTATGTGCCGTCGAGTCAGTTCCGACCCATAGCAACCCTATACAGGGTTTCCAAGGCTGTAAATCTTTACGGGGCAGAAAGCCTCATCTTTCTCCCGCGGAGCAGCTGGTAGTTTTGAACTGCTGACCTTAAGGTTCACAGTCCGATTTGTAACCACTACGCTACCAGAGCTCCTTCCATAGATGTAGTCTATTGGTTTTCTGTTTATTCCATCTGGTGAGGTCCATGTGTATAGTCATCTTTTATGTTGTTTTAAAAAACGTATTTGAAATGAAGAAGTCATTGGTCTTGCAAAATTCTAGCATACGATCTCCAGCATCATTTCTATCACCATGTAAATCATACTTTTCTAACTACTGATTCGTCCTCCTTTTCATACCTTTGTATTTTAGTCAGCAGCAATTCTTGATTACATGTTTGATTAATTTCAGACTGAAAAAGTTGATAGAATTCTTCAATTTCACCCTCACTGGTTTTAGTGGTTAGTGCATAAATTTGAATAATAGTGGTATTAACTGGTCTTCCATGTAGGCAAATGGATATTTTCTTATCACAGATAGTGCTGTACTTCAATACACATCTTGACTTTTTTTTTTTTTTAGGATAAATATGACATCATTCTTCTTCAATTTGTCATTCTTGGCAAAGTAAACCATGTGATTTGTCAGTTTCAGCTCACTGATAACTAAGATATCGATGTTTATGCATTCCATTTCATTTCTGACAATTTCTAATTTTCCTAGAGTCATACTTTATACAGTTCATGTTATGATTATTAATGGATGTTTATAGCTGTTTCTCTTCATTTTGAGTTGTGCCCAATCAGCAAATGAAAGTTCCAAAGGCTTTACTCCATTTGTGTCATCACAGTCGACTCTATTTTGAGGAACCTCTTCCATAATCGTATTTTGAGCGCATTCCAATCTGAAGGGCTCATCTTCCAGCAAGCACCATATCTGATAATATTCTGGTGCTCTCCATCAAGTTTCAATATTCAATATTCTGGTGCTGAGTGTTTCAATGCTATTCATAAGGTTTTCAGCGACTAAATATTCGAAGTAGTTCATCACTCCTTCCTCCTAGTCTGTGTTTGTCTTGAAGCTCAGCTGAAACCTGTCCACCATGTGTGACCCTGCTGCTATTTAAAAACCTGTGGCATAGCTTCCAGAATCACAGCAACATGTAGGCCACCATTGTACGACAAACAGACAGACAAGTGGTGAAGTACTGCTATCAGTAATTATTAATTATTTTCTTGTAATTGTATTTTACGATTTTAATCAAAATTTCCCCAAAGAAGTGAGTATGAATAAATATGAAATTGCTGAAAACTTCAAATTCCCACTACTCTAATAATAAGTGTAGAGATGAATGTCACATGACTGTGTGTACATTAACTCATCCAAGTAGACTGTTACCTAGATTTTTCATCTAAAACCTATTAATATAGCAATATCTCTTTTAAAGCAACAGAATCAGTACTTTTAATATTCTAAACATATTATCTTAAAAATGGATACAAGCAGGTGCAAATATATCAGCTAGCCTAAAAATTTTTTTCTTAGGGAAAGCCAATTAAATGAATTATTCATTCTTAAGAACTATGAACACAAAATATTTGTGCCTATGTTCATTTCCATAACTAAATCTGGTATTTATTGATACTTTCACATATTTATGTATGAGGCACAGAAGACTGAAACAGACTAGGAAAGAAAAGGGTACATAAATAGAAAAGGATCAGCATTTGCTTGCAAAAGAGATTGGCATCAGTCACATAAACAATGACCTCAGCTCTCAACTATTCCAAAGATAAAGTCTTAAAGTAGTCATTCTGGCTTATGAAGAAAAGGGGGAAGAATTCTGGTAAGATGTGAAAAGAATGTGTTTGTAAACAAACATCTGATGATATGATGGGCAAGAAAAAAACAAAACCTCTCAGAAGCATGTCATGATCGGCCCCATGTACGTGGAAAGCAATGCCGACTTGTGTGTGCTATAAAAAGGTCAGATTCACTAGCTACTGCCATTTCCCAAAGCTTCTCGTATTACACAAGTTCCTTCACATAAATCCACTAGCTGCTATCTTGGAGAATCAAAAACTTAGGAAAACATTTTCTGATGCTTTATTTCACCAACCATACATAAAGTTTATAAATCTCATACTGTTTTTCCATTTAAAATTCACTCAGAAGCTTAGGTATTTTTAGGCGCTCTGGTAGCACAGTGGTTACGAATCGGGCTGCGAACCACAAGGTCAGCAGTTCGAAACAACCAGCTGTTCTGTGGGAGAAAGATGAGGCTTTCGGCTCCCATAAAGATTTACAGCCCCGGAAACCCTGCACAGGGTCACGATGAGTCGGAACTGACTCCACGGCACATAACCACCACCACCACTTAGGTATTTTTGAGGATTTCTAAGGATACACTATAACTTTTCTGAGGGTGTGTGTGTATGGCACATTCCTTACCTTTCATAGTTCACAATTTAAGAGAGAGACATATTAAGAAATAACTAGATGCGAGAAAAAAAGTAGAAGCAACTAGCATTGCCTAGTGGAATCAGAGATCATTTCAAAACTGAGGTGACATATGAACAGAATTCTAAAGGATAAATGGAATTCTACCAGGTCAAAAGAGACAGAAAAGGCATCAGAGACAAAAGGAATAAAATAAGCAAAGGCATGAAGTCATAAAGAAAAGAATATTTGAAGAACAAGGAAAATTTCAATGTGGCTGAAGAGCTGGTATAAGGAGTGTGGTCGTAAGTAGAGGAAAAGGAAACTACAGGAGGATTAAGTAGGTTTTTCCTTATACAGGGCTGTGTGCAGTAAAGTGTGAGCAACAAACAAGCAGTTCATAGATTAATGACATAATGTAGCTTTTGCAAATAAGCAAAATCCTTATCAAATAAAATGCTACAGAGTAGCGTAGCATAAACCAAACCAAACCCACTGCCACTGAGCCAATTCTGACTCAAAGTACCCCGACAGAACAGACAGAACTGCTCCTTGGGTTGTCCAAGGCTGTTAACCTTTGTGGGAGCACAAAGCCTCATCTTTCTCCTACCAGAGGCTGGTGGGTGTGAACTGCCAACTTTGCAGTTATTAGCTAAACCAATCAATATCCATCCCAAAGTGCCACTTGGCCTTCTCTTAAAGTAGACCTGCAGTCAGGGGAACTACGATTAATATTATAAAATGTGCAAAACAGTAACAAACAGAAATCACCGTATGTCTTTGATGGTTGCTCGTTTCAGAGGATCAACTTGTAGCATATGCATCAGAAGAGTGGCAATAGAGCGATTGAGGTATTCTGGGATATAAAAAACACCCCCTCGGATCTTCTTAAATAATGTAGGCACATGCTCATCATCAAATGGGAGGGTGCCACAAAGAAGAGCATACAAAATAACACCGCAGCTCCAGATGTCAACTTCAGGACCAGCATACAATCTAAGCAAAGAGATGACAACACAAATCTGAAATGCAAGTGCCTCCTTTTCTCACCATACATACGTGCCTTGCTTCTGCATATGCACAGAACAGGCAAGGTATAGCTGCACTTCCAACATCTGTCACAAGTTCATGACCACTCCTCAACACTCAGTGATGGCTCTTCTAACAGAATAACCAATCTAACCAAATACTATTCATGTTTGAACAGCAAAAAGGTTATTTCATTCATCTCTCAGAAACATGTAGCTGAAACTTCCAAATTGACTAATTAAAACATAAAACTTCCCATGGTTGGTTTTTGATAGCCTTAGACGACCTTGAAATTATATATAAAAAATGACAGCATATAGGTTAAATCTTTTCATCATAAAAACATTACAAAAGAGAAAAAGCACATATAATGGAATTCCTATCTTTGGTGTACCTATTTTAAGGAATATTTTAAACATTAAAATACCGACCTAGGCCTGTGATACTCTGACAGTCCTTACCCTGCACCACATTATCCTTAGCAGCTAGTACTTTCATTCTAACTGCACACTGGCTCCTGCAACTAAGATTAGTTTCTTTAATGCTTTGTTCCACATAACCTATGTCATTTCCTTTCACTAACCTTTCAGCATTAAAATTCCTCTAATAGCACACCAAAAAACTCAAATCTGAGTCAGAGGTAACAAAACATAACTCTACAATTACAATGAAAGAAATATAATGTTTCTAGAAAAAATGTTGTCCATCATATGCTTTCTTGCCCACACTCCTAGTATATGCTACTTTACAAATCTTCTTAAATTGTTTTCATACAAATCTACTGATTTTTTTTAAACCAGAAATTTATCACTCTAGAAAAATGTGAGTTTATCACTTCAATCTGTATAAGAAACATTTTTTAAATATAACAATTTTAAGTAAATTACGTGAGTAATTACATGATCTCTCCCTATATAGTTTGATTTCATGAAATGACAATATTATCCCAAAAAACACTCTTTAAAATACAAAATAGAAAACAATACTCTAAGGAATATGTAAAATATCTAAAGGACTGTCTGATATATAAAAATAATAACATAAACTTAAATTCAATAAATGCTTCCTCTCTTATCTGTACTCTTCTAAAATGAAAGCGATGTTAAAGCAAGGGATTTCAGAAAATTTCTTAAAAACATTAATAACAAAATCTGAATTAAACATTCTTAAAATTTTTTTGATATACACTTTCTACCCTTCATCAGCTGCAAAATAAATGTACTATTTGTTTCAGCAATGTTAAAAACATTATATTCTAAAGAGAATCTACTCTAGTCAAATGCTACCAGAATGAATGCAAGATTTAAAAAAAGCTTACTCTCGTGTGTGATAAATTATTACCTGCCTGAGATGACTTCGGGGGCTGCATAATTTGGAGACCCACAACTAGTTCGCAGAAATTCACCATCTGACATCATATTCGACAATCCTGAAAAGAAAAATAATGATTTACCTAGAGCCAGATACTTTTTTTAAGTTGTTGTTGTTAAGTACTATCAAGCTGGTTCCGATTTATAGTGACCCTGTACAAGGTATCCAAACAGTGGCTGGTGGATTTGAACTGACAACCTTGCAGTTCAAAAAAGCCTTTTGGTTCAGTGCATCAGCGCACAATGCTACACCAGGACTTTTCAAAATAGATGCAAATTAATACAAGGGAATAATCTCAAAGCTTAAATGTTCTTCCATACATCTTTGGAGGGGGCTTCAAAATTTCATGGAAAAGGGGCAAAATGATGAAAAATTCTTAGACATTATCAAACACCTTGAGGAAATGAATTGCTGAGCCTGGGGGCTCAGGACCACAGTCTCAGAGGACACCATAGTCCACGGACATAGCACACTACCCAAAGGTAGCATTCTACAATCTATTTGGTTAGTTGTTGTTATTGTGGTTAAGTGCCTTTAAGTTGGTTCCAACTCATAGCTTCCTATATAGGGTTTCCGAGGAGCAACTGGTGGCTTAGTAATGACTAGGATCTTAAAAGTTTATGAGTCAAAAATAATCTAAAGTGCCACTAATGGTCTCTCCATGTATGAAGGATAGAAAAAGTGATAAAAATAGAAGATACATGGAATCAATTCTCCAGTGGATTAATGGAACATGTGAACATCAGGCTCAACGACTCTGAGACCAAAGGAACTAAATGGTGCCCCATTAACTGTTCTGAAAGGGATCACATCTGTCCGCTGGGAAGAGACTATTCAGAATGCTTATACCACGACAAAAGCACATTACAGGTCTAAGTGGAACTAAATTCCGTTTCTAAATAAAAATACTGATTCACCATACAAATATGAGGTCATTCTAAACTATATTAACTATAAGGAGCTCTGGTAGCATAGAGGTTATGAATCGGGCTGCTAACTTCAAGGTCAGCAATTTGAAACTACCAGCTGTTCCATGGGAGAAAGATGAGGCTTTCTGCTCCCATAAAGATTTACAGCCTCAGAAACCCCATACAGGGTGGCTATGTATGAGTCAGAACCAACTTCAAGGCACATAACCACCAACCTCCATGTCAAAATTGGAGTCCTGGAGTGGTGCTGTGGGCTAATGAGCTGGACTGCAAAGTTGGTTTGAACTACAAGGTCAGTGGTTCAAGCTCACCAGCTGCTCCTTGGAAACCCTATAAAGGGTCACTATGGGTCGGAACCAACTCAACAGCACTCAACAACAATAACATATCCAAATTAAAGTATCAAAATTTTATTTACCCACTTTTATCATTGAAAATAAAATACTGTCAAAAGTAGAGTTGACAGTGATGACACAGATGGAGTAAGCTTTCAGGATGTTCATGTGCTGACTGAGCACAACTCAAAATAAGGACAAACAGCTGTAAGCATCCGTTAATAATAGGAAGAAGGAAAGTACAATGTATGAATCTAGGAAAACTGGAAGTTATCTAAGATGAAAAGGAAAACATAAACATTGATATCCTAAGCATTTCTGAGCTGAAATGGACTGGCAGAGGCAATTCTGAATCTGACAATCACAGGGATTACTATGCTGGAAATGACATATCAAAGAATAGTATCACATTTATCATTGGGGAAAAAAAAAAATTTCAGGACCTATCTTGAAGTACAACGCTATCTGTGATATGAAAATATCCATATGCCTAAAAGAAAGATCAGTTAATACAACAAATCATTAAAATTTTCACAGCAACCACTAATGCCAGCAATGATGAAACTGAATAATTCTAACAACTTCAAGTTAGTTTGAACCGCAAGGTTGACAGTTCAAGCACACTAGCTGCTCCTCAGAAACCCAATACAGGGTTCACTGTGGGTTGGAATCTACTCTGTGACACTTAACAACAACAAACCAACTTCTTCACTCTGATAGTAACTGAACAGGCAATCAAGATATATTGATAATTCCTGGCGTTTGGAATGCAAAGCTTGGAAAAAAAGAGGTAGGATCAGTCATTGGAAAATATGGCCTTGGTAACAGAAATGATGCTAGAGATCATATGACAGAATTTTGCAAGACCAAAGACGACTTCACTGCAAATAAATATTAAGCAAACAATGTAAAACACGACTATACACATGGACCGCACCAAACAGAATACACAGAAATCAAACTGACTACATATACGAAAAGAGAAGGTAGAAAAGCTCCATATCATCAGTCAAAATAAGGCCAGGGGAAGATTGAAACAGACCAGCAAATGCTCATATGTAAATTCAGCCAGCAGCTGAAGAAAATTAAAGTAAGTCCATGTAAGCCAAATTATGACTTTGAACATATCCCACCTGAATTTAGAGATCATCTGAAGAACAGATTTGATACATTAGACACTAATAACCACAGACCAGATGTTGTAAGATGGCATCAAGAACATAATACAGGAAGTAACCAAAGGGTCATGAAGAACACAAGAGAGAATGAAAATACCAAATGGATGTCAGAAGATACTCTGACACTTGCTCTCCAGTGTAGAGATGCTAAAGCAAATGGAAGAAATGAGGAGATAAAAGAGCTGAACAGAAAATTTCAAAGGTCAGCTTGAGAAGACCAAATCAAATATAATGAAATGTGCAAAGGTCTGGAAATACAAAACCAAAGGGAAGAACACAATCAGTATTTCTTAAGCTGAAAGAACTGAGGAAAAAATTCAAGCCACGGCATGCAATATTGAAGGATTTTATGGACTAAATATTGAATGATGCAGAAAGCATCAAAAGAAGGTAGAAGGAATATGCAGAGTCACTGTACCTAAAAGAAAGGGTTGGTATTCAACCATTTCAAGAGGTAGCATATGATCAAGAGCCAATAATATTATAGGAAGAAATCCAAGATGTACTAAAGGCATTGGCAAAGAACACGGTTCCAGGAAATAATGGAATATAAACTGAAATATTTCAACAAACTGATGCAGCACTAGAGGCACTCACTCATTCATGCAAAAGAAGTTGGAAGACAGCTAGCTGGCCAACTGATTGGACGAGATCCACATTTGTGCTCATTCCTCAGAGAGTTGACCCAACTAAATGCATAAATGATCGGACAGTATCATTAATACTGCACGCATTCTGCTAAACATAATTCAAATACGGCTGCAGCAGTACACTGACAGGGGATGACAGAGGCTCCAACTGGGTTCAGACGGGGTCATGGAATGAGTGATGTCATTGCTGATGTCAGGTAGATAGATCTTGGCTGAAAAGTATTTCAATTGGGTGGATCATGACAGGCTATGGACAACATGAGTATTCTGGAACACTTAATTGTGCTAATGAGGAACCTGCACATAGACCAAGAGGCAATCATTCAAGCAGAACAAGGGAATACTGAATGGTTTAAAATCAGGAAACATATGAGTCAGGGTTGTATTCCTACACTGTACTTCTTCAATCTGTATGCTGAACAAATAATTCAAAAAGCTGGAATATATGAAGAAGAATGTCTCATTAGCAACCTGAGATATGCAGATGATACAACCTTGCTTGCTGAAAGCAAAGAGAACTTATGATACTTATTGATGAAGATCAAAGACCATATCCTTCTGTATGCGTTGAACCTCAATGTAAAGAAAGCAAAAATTCTCACAACTGGACCAATAAATAACATCAAGATAAATGCAGAAAAGCTTGAAGTTGGCAAAGACCACTTCATTTTGCTCAGATCAACCATCAACACTCATGGAAATAACAATCATGAAATCAAACGACATACTGCATGAGGCAAATGAGAGGCACAAAACCTCTGAAGTGTTAAAGAGCAAAAATTTCTGTTTGAGGACTAAGGTGCACCTGACCCAAGCCACATGTATTTTCAATAGCCTCATATGCATGCGAAAATTGGACAATGAATATGGAAGACCATAGAAGAATTGATGAATTAGAGTTACGATGTTAGAGGACAATATCATGGTCTACCAGAAGAACAAACCAATCTGTGTTGGAAGAAGTGCAGTCAGAATGTTCTTTAGAATCCAGGATGGCCCAATTTCATCTCACATACTTGGACATGTTATCAGGAGGGACCAGTTCCTAGATAAGGATGTCAAAAACAGAGAAAGAGGCCCAATTTGACGAACTGGTACAGTGGCAGCAGCAACGGGCTCAAGCATCACAATGGCTGTTAAGATCGGCATAGGACCAGGCAGTGTTATGTTCTGTTGTATATAGGGTCGCATGAAAGGGCACCAACTCAACAGCACCTAACAGCATACTGAAAAAGCACAACAGAGACTAATGCTTTTTCAAACTCTTCTTTCAAAGGTCTTTAAAAAAAATCTTCAAGTACAAATAATACAGGCTCGATAGAAACAGAGTATGTTCATGATGCTTTTAATTTGGAAAGTTGTAATTCAATATAGAAAAAAAATTAATTGAAAGAAAATTTAATTGAATTATAGTACTAAATCAGTTTCAAAATTTAGAGATGACAAATAAGAAAACTTGTTGTTGTTTGGAGTTACTAAGTGTGTTGTAACTCATAGCAACACTTTGTACAACAGAATGAAACACTGCCCGGTCCTGAGTCAATCTCACAATTGTTACGCTTGACCCCACAGCTTCTGCCACTGTGCCAATCCATTTCATTGGGAGTCTTTCTGTTTTTCACTGACCCTCCACATTACCAGCATAATGTCCTTACCCAGCAACTGGACCCTCCTGATAATATGTTCAAAGTATGAGAAATGAAGTCTGGTCATCCTGGCTTCTAAGGAACATTCTGGCTGTACTTTTTCCAGTACAGATTTGTTTGTTCTTCTGGCAGTCCATGGTATTTGCAATAGTCTTCTACAACCCCAAAACAGAAAAGCATCAATTCTCCTATTCCTTATTCTCTGTCCAACCTTCCCATGCATATGAGGCTATTGAAAATACCATAGCTTGGGTCAGGTGCACTTTAGTCTTCAAACTGATAGCTTTGCTCATGAGCACTTTAAAGAGACAGAGAGGGGC